AAGCTTGTAAATTTCTGAAGATATCACCCCTAAACACCATGTTGTCCCAGCCGTTCGAAAATCATCGACTTGCTACCGTTTCTTGGTTGGTTTCACCTAACACAGTGATGCGAATCCTTTTCCAATCGTAATGGCAGTTAACAAGAAAAATTTCTGTTGTTGTGCCACTACTCCTATGTTAAAGATGAATGTTTTCCTTAAGGAGTGTAAGCCTGCTGCTAATCAGACGCGGAGACAATTTCTAATTCAAGCACAAAAATAATAAAAAGAAAAACATATTCTAAACATATTTTACGATCCGACATTTCTGCCGAAATGGCATCGATCATAATCAGGGAAACAGTTAACTGTCATTACTTTACTTTTAATTTCTTTCTACCTTAGGAACTTAAATGATCCCAAAAACAAGTCATACCAATAGCAAAATCGTAGAACGTTCCACGTCTTCTCGCATCTGGATTCACCTCCTTTATCAACGTTGTCAGTTCTCTTAACGTACAGTCCATCCTTAAATTTTACTATGGACAAGATACCTAAAAAAAACTTCGGCAAACCAAGTATATATCTGGAGTTCATTTGTTGGAACGTTTCCTCTGGCAAATTCGCTCAATGGGTTATGACGGCCATTCGCGCAAAACACTCGCAACAGTAAAGGGCAGGTCTAAAATTAATGCATAATCATATGTTGAAATAATACGTTTGGAAAATTTAATTATCGAAGTTAATTCTGTATGCTGGAAACGAGGCACCAGGTATTTTTTATTATTATAAAGCAATCAAATAATCGAAATAGTCATTACACTGCCACAGAGCCGTGAAACAGCACTGAAAATTGTTGCAGTCAATCGTAACTAACGAGGATAACAAAGAAGTAGAAACAAAGCAAGTGCAGAAATAAATAAATCAACAGCTATACATGCCACTGCATTCTACTTTACACGCTGTAATACATTTAAAAAGGGAACTTTAGCTTTTTATGCGAGAATAGTGTTTTCAAAAATCGAAAAATTCTTTACGAGATGACACCTGAGTTTTTTGTTCGTGCGTTTGTGGTCCAAATGAAGACATAGAGCCTTCTGGCTCCACAAAAAAAGGATGTACTAGCCGCTGCAAGTAACAGAAATCTTTATCAGTACTCAAATCATCCAACCTCGTTATAATGAAGGATCGTGATATAAGAGCAAGCCAAAAAGGTAGGTACAGGTCAAAAACGCTACTGCCTATATTTCCGTATATAAATAAACCGAGTTCTCCTCTTTTTCAGTGCAGAATGTCATCTGCACATCGAATTAACTCCTCTATACATATATTTCAAAATTTCGGATCACGTTTAATTTGTCATCAAGGAGAGACGCAGTGTAAAACAGATACTATAAAATTGTTTTATATATTTTAATCTGAAAACGGATCAAGCATGATCCGATTCAATACGGCAATGTGTATAAAATAAATTCGATATACGGTGTCATTCCATAAATGATACTTTAATACTGGAGTATATTTTCAAATTGTAAAATCTATTCTCCTGTCACTTCTCTTGATTTTGCACGGTGTTGCGCCAGTCCTATTGCCAAGGAATCCGTCTAAGCAGGGCTCAGCTCCATGGTATTAGTGCATAGGCGCAAAACAGCACCACTTTG